ATATTAAATATAACTATTTTAAATGTGACTATGTGTATGAGAAATGTTACGCTTTGGTCAGTTTAAACCATACATTGCATTTATAATAGCAATGTATAATTGTTTTAATAATCTTATTATCACTTGCAATTATATATTTCAAGGAGATTACTTGATAACGCATCAAGAAACATGCGCGAGCTCTTCTGAAAATTACTGTAAATATCGAGAATTTCCCCATATTAATGATTTTAAGTGTTCAATTTTAAAATATATTATATAAAATTGTAAATGTTAAGTGTATACTTTTTCCACACATATATACGATATCTACTTATGCGCTCCATATTATGTAACACAAAAACATATATGTGATCGTTAATTTACCTCCGCACTTTGAATAATTGATAGTTAGAGATGATCGACTTTACAAAAAGAAATATATAACGAACGTGCAACAGCAATATTAAGAGTTATAAATAAAAAATATAATAGCCAATATGAGTTAAATCCTTACAAATGATTAAACGCAATTATTAAATCGCGCGCAAAATTGCGATCAATTCGAAACGATGTATTGTGTCTTGAAATGTCACGTTTACCCTATTAATTATTCACAAAAGATTTTATTATTAATTTAATTGATTTAACCAAATCTATATTATTTGTACCTTCTTAAACGATCGCCTTTCAATTAATACATAAATCTCGAATATTTCGATTGCGGCTGTCCGTCATTACGCGATGCGAGAGAGCGAAAAGTTACCGCTTAGAGAAGGTCGATTAAATTCGCATTACGCTCACCCCTCGTGAAAAGACATAGAAAGCACAAAGTGGCTAGAGCGAGTTCTTCGAGGGTGTTACACTCCCTTTCTCTTGTAACTCTTAACCCACGACGACGCCGCCGCCGACGACGACGACGACGACGGCGGCTCGTTCCCTTAGTCGCTAATTAGCGCGAGACACGCAGGCCCCACGAACGACTCGTGTCGGGCACGTGTCGTGCCGGAAACTCGCTTAGCGCGCGACAAACAGACCGTTTCCCATCGTACATGCGCTCCTTCCGGTCGTTTCCACGAGAAAACGTGGCCGAGGCAGCTGATTAAATCGCTATTAAAACATGTCTCTATCGCTCTCGATCGAATCGCTTTCTTTCATGTCCCGCTTTTATTACGGGGATAGTTAGTTTAAGAAAAACGCACGATTGGATACACAGGCAATACACACTGGGGTTGGATCGGTCATTTGATATTATGCATACATCCGTGAGATTTGATTTATTGGACGGCTTAATGTGTATGTTCAATCGCCCAAATTTTCGATTAATTGTTTCTTCATTAGGATTATTGTTTTATAATTAAATGATTGTACAAATAGTTTATATTTATAATAATAAGCACGGCAATCGAAACATTGTATACACAATATAATTTAATCACGTTTTCATTTTCTTGTTGGAAAGGAAGATTTTGTTAAACTATTACTCTAGCTAGAGAAAAGACATGTGGGGCTACATGTATGATTTTAAATATTGAAATATACGCCAAGAATTCTCAGTTTTTCTTGGCAATAATAAATCCTGGTATTGTATCAGATATGGAAAATAGAATATATAAAATCTATATTTTTCTATGAAAAAATTGTTTTTAGAATTTAGTAAACACAGTTATTTTCTTCTCGAGAAATTGCCGATAATAAGCTGCTTTGAATTATTGAGAAAATCGTGTTGCGATTGTGGCTTCGTTAGGTATACTAGATATTGAAGTTGTGCGGGAATATATACATACAATCACTTTTTAATACACGGCGTTGAACAAATGCATTTCCCGTCTAGATTATGTTTTTATTGTGTGTGGCAACAACTCGCTTAGAAGCCACTTCTGACGTTGCGAATAATTCACAAAAATAAATAAATCTTATATTATTTTATAATCTTGCATTGCATTTGAAAAGTCAACATCCGATTTCATTAAATGCATACTAAATTTTCACGTCATTATTAAATTAAATCATTTCTTTTTTTTTATTTTACATTATTTAAAGGACAACTTAAACTTTTAATCCATCAAAAAAATATTATTTTTTAATGATTATTATATTTAATAATATGGAAGAAACATAACAAAATTTTGAATCTTGAAATATTTCTCAAAGTTTCATCACTTAAAGGGAAAATTAAAGTAGAACAATGTTTTGTGACAGTTATATTGACAATAGTTAGTAACGACTTTTGCCATTTGTTATATAGTGGGCAAATTTCTGCTTTGAGTGATTCTGTTTGGCGAAAGAAAGAAAAATAACCGTTTGCGTGTGCGTGACGAGACACGATTTCCATACAAAACAGCCTGATGATCTGCCGATATATTTATTGTGGGCAAAGTGCGTGTTCGCATTTCGGTCTCTCGCGGCGACAAACCTCGAATAAATCAAATCCGAAGCTAATCTGATTGCATGCCAATCCACTTTTTTTCTGGCTTTTATATTGTGAAAGGATAATTGTCACCACTGTCGACGAAAAATACTATTGTCTATTTTGCATATTCAGATATTAAAGAGTGATTTTTTTCATATTCTTTCATGATGACATTAAAAGTATATGTCACTAATAATTGATCTCCATAAACGAATTATTATAAGACAAAATTGTGTAATTAATTTATTTTCGAGAAACTAGTATCATTAATTACAACGAACAAGATTCCTGAAGATCTGTTTAAGATTCTCTTTGAGAACCTTTGTTAGGCATAACAAAATATGTCCAAAGCTTTAGATTGATATTACTATTTCTCTTTTATTTCCCCTTCCTATCTAAAGTGCACGATGGCGTGATATCGATTCTTGGTGTCGCGTATATACCCTCTGCGTGATTCTTTCATATGCGAAAAGGGTCAGTCGCATAGAGACGTGGGTGCGACATTCATGCGGACACCCTATTGAAGATGCACCGCAGGTCGCGTTTAAATGCATGCATCGATATAAAGGTGCGGTCACAAGTCTCTCTCCGCTCTCCGTCACGTTAAATCGAATAAATGCGCATTACAACGCAATCTCATTTGTGCGATAACGCGCATCAAGCAAATGCAACTTTTTATAAGTCCACTCTGCGAATAATGCACGAAGCTTATTACGCTTAATGAATCCAGCGGCATTAATGATGTCTTGAAATATTAATTAAATTAATATCTTTATTTACAATGTGTGGAGAGGATATTTGATTAGCCAAGTATTTTAATTTGTTCAAATATTTGAGTATAATATTTTTGTGTACATGTACTAACAAATATTTTTAATATGTGATTGTAAAATCGATATGTCATATAAATATAAACTCTCTATTAACTCAATCAATTTTATTTCATGAAATTATGGAGTTTGTGAATAATTAAAATGATTATTAATACAATGACAGATTTCTTGCTTCTCATGTACGTTATTTTTGAAATGTTAGGGAGACATTATTAAATTACATATATTCTATTTAAGAAATTATTAAAGTTCATGAACCTTATTCAACGCTTCTCAGAAACTATAAGAAAATAAATTCTTCTCGTCTTCGTTTCACGATGCGCGCCTTGTGTTCGAACATTTCGCCGATCACAGGACACCAATAGTCTGAATAATATACAAAGTAGCTTACCATGATGGCAACAAGATACAGAGTCTTTATAAATAATTCCGAAACTACCCGTCAAAGACTCGATCGCGCATTTTTTATCAAGTATCGTGAAGGATATACAGTTGGAGCTATATGACAAAATGTGATAAGAAAATAAGAAAATATTAAATTGCAGCTCATAAAATAGAGTAACAAAATTAAATTAATTTTTTTCACTTGTATATTTTGCTAAATTGTCTAGATTGCTATACTGAATTCAAATTATTATGAATGCAAAAGGTTGAAGCCATGGTTATATAATGACGATAAATAAATAATTTTACAATCTGTCTTCAGAAAAGTACTTGTCTAATTAAAACCCTAATAGAAAACATCGTTGACGGTAGAGTATAGTGTTGGAAGTCGATTAACTACTTCAATAGTTTGATGTCGCGCTGTCCTGTTATCGAGTCTATTTTTAACCATTCGCGCGCTTGAGTCTTCCGTCCAAAGTATAGAAACTAAGGAGAAAGACTCGTTACTAACAATTGTAGGTATCGATCGGTGATATGCAGCAGCAACATTTGGTCGAGGAGAAAGAAGAAGTTTAAGGGAGAAACATGCGACAAGCTGTAATTCCGAGGACAAAACTTGAGTTGCACGAGTATAGCCGCAACGTAAAAATTAGATATATATAAAGTGGAGGCTTGTTACCAACGATTGCAATTATCGATACACACGCAACAGTCTCGTATGCCGAAACTTTGTCATATGGTTGCCCGCCTTGTCCGGTTGGCATATTACGATCTCTCTTTACAGGTTGAAAGTGATGACAAAGAGATCGAAGAAGCGTGTTGTGTTTCTGAGACTTTATGTATTATATCAAATATTTAGGGCAATCACATAAACCTCCGTTCTCTATTTTCAAGTCAAAATTATTTCGCACGCATCGTATGAACGATGCGATTATTTTACTATAAATATAAAATGCAAGTATATATAATATCGACTATACTCATCGTATATATTCTTTCTCATTTATTTTTTAAGCACAGTCCGTGTACTAATAAAACATATTAATAATTTAATATGCAAACAATTCATTATTGTATTTTTAAATTAAATCTAGAATCTTTTTTTCATAGTAAATTTAATGTTTTTCATATAAATAGAATTTATCTATCGAATATTAATGTATGTAATGATGAGTTCTTCCCACTTGCTGCATATGTATAAAACGTGACATCGTAGAAGGCGTTCTAATAAATTTATGAACACGCGTGGAGTTAGGATTTCAATTCAACGCGAATAATGAAATAAGGAGATTCTTGCGATGAAACTGATCAAGTAATAAACAGCTTTTACAACTTGCTATATGATTAATCGTGATTAAAAATTAAAAGATATTGAATGTATTGAAACTCACCGGTATGGATGTAGGTGTGCTTCTTCATATCCGACTTCTGATGAAACCTTTTGCCACAATATTGACAGGGATAAGGCCTCGTGTCAGAATGAATCAGCAAATGAGTGCTGAGTGTGCTTGACCGTTTGAAGGCTTTACCGCACTGCTTACACTATTATAACAAACAAAAAGCAAGTGATTTACATAAATACCTTATTACATATCTTGTTTGTTTGGTAAAGAAATATGTATTAATTATCTATTAGTTTTTGACTTTGATTATCATTTCTTATTTTGCCGATTTCGCGAGTGTCTAGAGTTATTTTCATTCTGCTGTTCAATAGAAATTTCCTTTTCTGACAAATCACTATCGCCTCTCAAATAAATTCTCTCTCTCTTTCTCTCTAACCGTTAAGCAGCTAATTTATCAATTCCTTTTAGACAGCTCATGTTCCCGCACATCACACGCGATATTGATTATTCCCCTTTCGAGAAACTTTTTTCTGCAATTATGCCTTCTCAATCTTGCGATCGTGAAATCTACATCATATAATATACATTATTATATCGTTATTACTAACAATAAGAAAATTGATGGATTTTTTCAATTTTTACAATTATATTTTTTCTCCAAAATTCGCCAAGTTTATCTATTATAGAAAAAGGATCTAAAAATAATTTATATGTATGCTCTTTTTGATTTCCAAAAATCTTTGTTCGGAACTTGTTTCTTTTTCTCACATTTATAATCCGTAAAATATATTACATTCCGAGAGTCCTCCGTAAAATATATTACATTCCGAGAGTCTTCATTATTTCTCTAACGCCATAAAGTCTCTTGCTTTTCAAGCGCGGACGCGTAAGAAGGGATGAATGCAGATGATGAGGGAGACGCTGGACGTCGGGGCCGATCACACCTGTGTGTGCTTACGAAGCGTCGTGTGCTCTCCCTTTCTCTCTCTTTCTCTCGCTCGTTCTCTCTTTCTCTTTCTTCTTTAGCTCATTGTCACACGGGCGCCAGTCGTCACAATGTCCCGGCAGCGCGGTTCGATGCGTGTCCAGGCTGACAATATATGTATACGGCATATGAATATACGGAATATTATTACGCGCGGACGCGCGCGCGAATACGCGAGTGCAAGTACGCATGATTCACGTTTGTCGCGATCAATAATATGGGGAAGAGCGACTTATCTTCACGCGACACATTCGGCCCGTTTGGCCATAGTCGACCATTTTTATTTTCATCATCAATCACGACGGGATTGAAAAGAACTGGAGTAATAATTATGCGCGGCTGATTTGCGATCATTAGTACTACTTTGCTCTTCTAAAAAATTGCCAAATGCTAGTTCAAATTATTTTTGTATTCGCGAATGCGAATAATATCTGAAGGAATAATCTGTAGTTCAAATTTAGCTTTTTCATGACAGGTAATTAAAGAGCTCGGAGTAAATTAAGACGAAGGAATATTTAAAATCCTATACCATCTAATTGTAATTAAATACATGGTCTCTCATCGCCCGTTTGGCCATAGTCATGAATTTTTGTTTTCATCACGACGGGATTGAAAACAGCTGGAGTAATAATTATGTGCGGCTGATAAGCAATCATTAATACTACTTTGCTCTTCTAAAAAATTGCCAAATGCTAGTTCAAATTATTTTTGTATTCGCGAATGCGAATAATATCTGAAGGAATAATCTGTAGTTTAAATTTAATTTTTTTTCATGATAGGTAATTAAAAAGCTCGGAGTAAAGTAAGACGAAGGAATATTTAAAATCCTATACCATTTAACTGTAATTAAATACATGATCTCTCATCGCCCGTTTGGCCATAGTCATGAATTTTTATTTTCATCACGACGGGATTGAAAACAGCTGGAGTAATAATTATGTGCGGCTGATAAGCAATCATTAATACTACTTTGCTCTTCTAAAAAATTGCCAAATGCTAGTTCAAATTATTTTTGTATTCGCGAATGCGAATAATATCTGAAGGAATAATCTGTAGTTTAAATTTAATTTTTTTTCATGATAGGTAATTAAAAAGCTCGGAGTAAAGTAAGACGAAGGAATATTTAAAATCCTATACCATTTAACTGTAATTAAATACATGATCTCTCATTGCCCGTTTGGCCATAGTCATGAATTTTTATTTTCATCACGACGGGATTGAAAACAGCTGGAGTAATAATTATGTGCGGCTGATAAGCAATCATTAATACTACTTTGCTCTTCTAAAAAATTGCCAAATGCTAGTTCAAATTATTTTTGTATTCGCGAATGCGAATAATATCTGAAGGAATAATCTGTAGTTTAAATTTAATTTTTTTTTCATGATAGGTAATTAAAAAGCTCGGAGTAAAGTAAGACGAAGGAATATTTAAAATCCTATACCATTTAACTGTAATTGGATCTCTCATCGCCCGTTTGGATAGTCATGAATTAATCACGACGGGATTGAAAACAGCTGGAGTAATAATTATGTGCGGCTGATAAGCAATCATTAATACTACGAATTGCCAATGCTAGTTCAAATTAATTCGCGAATGCGAATAATATCTGAAGGAATAATCTGTAGTTCTTAGTTCATGACAGGTAATTAAAGAGCTCGGAGTAAATTAAGACGAAGGAATATTTAAAACCCTGTACCATTAACTGGGTTCTCATCAGTGTATGGATAGCAGTACACCGTTACGACACAGTAACGACTCCCACGCTTAACAATTGTCATTCTTAATTGCTCTCCGTCGTCCATCTGGCAAGATACGGTCTCGAAACGGTCAACAACGCGATGGGACGCGTCGTCCCGTTCGCGGATTCGAGGGAAAGGAAAGCAGCGGCGTTGAGGAGATGGGTGGAGTTTCTCGTTAATAAGCACCGCGGAACGTCTATTGAGAGATCGCGAAGGAAAGACGGCGGAAAGACAGGGAAGGATAAGACGAGCGGAGACCGAGCGGAGACGACGAGGCGGTACCGCCATTGTCACCGCACGAAAGCGTCTGCTTCCGGTGCAGCGATCGGAAACAAAGCCGCGAGAGAGAGTTCCGAGTCGTCCGGCCGCGTCTCTCTTCGGTTATTCGGCGTCCTTTAAGTTTCTGCGCTCCTCGCGATTCGCGCTGCTCGAAATCGCGTAATTACCATAATCACTTCGCTTTTTGTTCTTTTTCTAAAACAAATTGCCGTTTATATTTTTCTCATTAAATTGCTTTAGCAAGATCAATTTTTATATTTAAATTATAATCTCCATTTCAAATATTTGTTACGATTCTCTTTCTAATATTGATATTGATTTATATGTAATTTCTGTAACGATACTTTCATTACCTTCTATGAGCAAATCATAAACAGAAATGCATTGTAAATAACATTACAAAAATCATATAAATCTCAGAATGCGATTATCTTCATATTTTATTTCAAGATTGAAGGTCTCGTTTAATTGCGGAACACAGTAAGTCCACTTTGCAGTAATAAAAAAGAAAGACCAAGTAGAGGGAGAGAGAGAGAGCAGCAAGAATTTAGCAGCAAGAATTTTTACACAAAAACCTCGTACCTGTTTACATACATACATATGTGTGCGCACGTACATGTATGCGGCCTACATATCCTAATATGTCGGGTTATGGTTACGTGTCGTGGACGTAAAACCACGACCGAGGCGAGTTTCTCTACTTCCATTCAATCACACGTAATTGCGGCGAGGTCTTTTGTATCGAGGTCCGATATTCGTCAAACGTTTGACCCGTTTCTTCGCCCCAACGTACTTAAGGGTACTTACGCGCCCCGAAGAAATTCGTATCGCGTGACTCCGTGTATATATCGCTGTGTGATTTTTTTCTGGAACGGAGATTGACCGGTTTTCACTCGATATATATGTAAAACGCTGGTCGTTCTCTTTCTCTTTCTTTTTTTTCTCTCTCTCTCTCTCTTCTTTCTTTCTCTCTCTTTATCTGTGCGTATGAAGAAGTCGTGACATCGAGTCGTGATGAAGTAGGCTGAAGATGAGCGAAAGCAGTTTCTTTTTTTTTTTTTCGACGACTCGTTCGTCAAGATAACTTCGTTATGTTAATTAAGATGTGCTTACGTTGTAACAGATGCGTGATGGTTAATGATGACATCTCATTTGAGCGTAAGCATTTGACACCGACATGTATTTCTCTTGCAACTGCATGGAGAATGATACGCGGTGAGCCTTTTCCGAGATAATATATTTTATGATTGTTGCTACCATATATGCAAGATATTTCGGTCGTAAAAAAATCGAATTAGCTGTTATAATTGGAATTAAGCTTGGGTGGTAAATAGATTGTATAATGCGTACGGTAGTTATCGCCTGAAACAAACCACTTCTTTTGTTGGCGGTAAAAAAATATCGATTTTCAAGGAAATCAACGTGGCTTGGCTATCAGATTGGCGAAGAACACTTTCCCGCCGTGACTTGTAAAAAAAAAAAAAAGAAAAAAAAACAAGTTCCACATATCGATCATCAACGACCTTTTTCAAAAGCTGTCACGTTCTGAGAAGCTCACCTCGTAAACTATTAATTCGGCCAAGAATAATAACGTTCTTGTCTTTGCTTATAAAAGAATTATTAGTAGGTAATTTATGTATGAGCTAATGACTAAAAATACGATTGATAAAAGAACTTTTAATTTTATCTTGCATATTATATATTTTATTATGTATCGTATTAGTTTTACAATAGATATTCGTCATTAACAATACTGTTTATAGTGCATCTAAGAATTAATTATCAAAATAGCTATCACAAATCTCTTATTTTTTACAATCATTTATCAATCATTTAATTAAAAAATTTAAAACCTCTTTATAAAGCATTGCATTTTTATAGGACAGTGTCTTATATAAAGAGCCTAGAGTATGCTTATTAAATATAAATACCCCTATATATAGGGTATTTATATGTAAATATAAGTACCCTATATATATACATTATGTTCGTTAAAATACAATAAAATAACTTGTTAATAGCGAGACAGAAATAAACCCATAACAAACCGATATCTATTCTATTTAATATCAACAGACTTCTAAAATTAATCAGTTGAGATTATAAATTATTTTTAGGATATCGTTATGTATGTATCATTAGATTATCGAAAATAGATCGCATCAAGACCCTAAAATATATAAAAGAAAAGTACAAGGAAGAGTTGCTAAAACGGGACCAATTACTGTCGATAAGTAATATCGGCCATGCGTTATTTAGAACCGATCAGACGATAAATCGATACAAGCCCTGTGCGGGAAAATCGAAGCTTCTTAATAAAATCAGGATGTTTTTTTTTCTATTGCGAGTAGATAATGCGAGATGAAGTTTTATCGAGACACATTGAAAAGACATTTTTTCGAAAAGAGCGTAATATCACGCAATGTTAAAATTTCTGATAAACCGCTTTGGATTATTTGAAATGTCATTTCATGTCACACGCGATATTGAGTCATTCGTTCTCGGAATAAACAACTTGAACGATTCTGGAGGTTCGCGAGATAAAATGCAGGATGAGATAAAGGGAGATACAATATATTAACACTCACTTGAAAAGTTCTTTCCGTCGAGGAAGGCGGAGTAAGCGGCGAGTGATGAATTTGCCGCGTAATTATAGGGGTCGAGGACGGACTCCTGGAGGACGGTGCTCTCGTTTCCCTGGCCTCTCTCTCGCACACCGAACCCGGTGACCAGATTTCACTTTTCCTGTTGCCGATATTCGATGAGACGTCGCTCGGTTTCGTGCTGAGGTTCAATGGCACTTCCTCTTCTGAAACGAAAAGCCGTCCGTCTGTTTCGTCATTTAGGCTCTTGTGTTTCGAACAGACTTCTTTACTTCCAATATGTGCATAATTATGATTTGCATATGATACAAATAGTATTATTAAATCGTATAGTGTTATTTGTTTCAAATTAATGCAGATAAAAAATTACATACTCGCGTGTACATTTTTCTTTATTCTGAATATAATTGTTAATATGGATAATACATATGAAAGAGATAAGAATTTATTATCGCTAAAACATCACGATATCGAGAAAGAGAGATAATTAATTTATAATTGAATAATTTTGTTGCATCATTTGATGGGAAAATTTTATAGTTTCTGCACATCGTATATATGTATATATGCACATATAGGAGATAGAAATTAATTTATTGTAATTAGTATCCGTGCAGCAAAATCGAGCAGTTATAAATGGTGTCCCGTGTGACAACGTTGATCGATCGATAGCACCCACTTACCGATAATTACTCGTTAGCTGTTCTACTTTTTTAAAAAGACACTTCAAACGCTCTAAAGAAGTTTATCGAAACAAAACGGATAAAGTCAATTTTATAGATTTTATCCTTCTAAATTTAATCATTATCAAATAGACCGTGTCAAAGTTGCTCAATTATATAATTAATATATTCATATTTTTTCTTTGTATTTCTTAAAATATCATATATAATATTAATTTAATTATCTTACATAATACATAAAATAATCAAAAAATTCTTGATTGATAAATCCAGCAATATCGAGATAAATATAAATTATTATTCAGAGAACTGTTTAAAAATAATTAAAATTGATATTAAATGCATTTTGCACGATCTGTATAGTTACTTAGATAATTATATCATTTTTTCGCAAGAGCTTTTGGTATCAAATGAACATTTAATCTAGAGATTTACTGAAAAAAAAAAACATTAAATTCTCACCGAATTTGGCTTTCTCCGGCGTGCATCTTCGCGGCGATCCGGGACGCGCCGGACTGAGAGGTTCTGGATGAATGGGCGAGCAATTTGTGACCGGTGTCGTTTGTTGGGACGGGATTCTTGTAGGCGGGAGCAAAGAATGTGGCAGCAACAGGCCCATGTGACGAGCCCACCAGGCACCTCCGGATGCTCCGTATCCGCCGTACATCAGTCCGCACCGCATATCTGAATGAGACAATAAAGATAATCGTGTTAAAGAAACGCGGTATAATTCTCGCACTAAATTTACAAATTACTTTATCTTCCGTTTAGCGTGAAATTGAGAGAAGAAGACCAGAGAACAATTTAGATAAAATATTTCAAAGGCGTATGAGCGTAATTAATGGTAATATTCGGTATACAGTATCCTCCATAAGTTTGGAAAGACCTTACATTTTACAGTTAAAGAATTGCATGGCGGCGATCTGTTATAAATAATAATGTCGTTTAAATATTTTACGTTTATTTTATGTTTTATTCATACAAAAAATCTGGACAGATCTGTCAAAAGGATCCTCTTAATTTAAGAGAAAAATTCTCTAAAGAAATATTCTTTAATTAGATTCGTAACATGCAAGAATATATAAAAATCTGGACAGATCTGTCAAAAGGATCCTCTTAATTTAAGAGAAAAATTCTCTAAAGAAATATTCTTTAATTAGATTCGTAACATTCGTAACATGCAAGAATATAAACCTAATGGGATGTTTTTTATCAGTATATTATTTGAAATATTATTAATCGTGACAACAAAAAACAGTCTTATAAATTGACATTTGTTATTTATTGCATACTGCACTCTTCACAAATTTGGAAACACTTTACATCTTACAGTTAAACAATCGCATGGCAGCGATCTGTCATAAATAAAAATGTCATTTAAATATTTTACGATTTATTGATACGTACAAAAAAATCTACACAGTTCGCTGCCGTACGATTGTTCAACTGTAAAATGTAAGGTGTTTCCAAACTTATGGAGGGTACTGTATATTTTTTTTCATTTTTCTCGTCATATAACTATCCCGTATTATAACTATCTCTATTCCTTTGCATCGTTTTGGCAAGTTGCAACCTAATGAATCTCGCGGCTTACCTCGCGCGGCAACGGTAGCGCTGAGTGGTAGATTTTGCAGTCTCAAATCGGGATTGTAATTTGAGACGAGGGTGAAGGCGCTGAAACGATCGGGGACGGGTTGACAATGGCCCGAAGGTGCATTAGCGGAGGCAATGGTGCTCGAACTGCTCCTCGGTATACCTGGGCTCCAAGGCGAGGATGGCAGCGTGATTATGCTTGGGCTACCCGGTGGCGAAAGGGTGGCCGGGGGTGACAAGGCGCCCGCCGGAACTCCAACGGGATTGCAATGAAGTTCCGGTTTCATGTACCAAGTTCGTGGTACCGCTTCTATTACGAGAAAGTAAAAGGCATGGCTTATTATTCGTACAAAACGCACAAACACGCGTCTGAATGGCAAAATTAATAATCAATTAATATATGACATATTTTTTTTATAAATATATTCCGATATGTAAAATGATTCAAATATCTATGTTAGATTTAAATTTCAGGGAAATTTAATATTATAACAATAATAACTTTACAATGGTTTCTAATCATTATTTTTAACTATTCATGTCACTTATATATATTTTTCATCAACTATAACTATAGGCTATTATGATTTTCAATTTTTGTTTAGGGTATTATCTATTAGCTCTTTTAATTTTAATGTCGACAGTTACCGAATAAAAAAAAGTACACGAAACCTTAATAAGATATACGAGCTATATCTCGTGTGAAAACATGCGTAGTCGGCTGCTTTTCACAAGTGCGTTTATTATATACACGAAACATTCCGTTAACAAAGAAATGAATAATGCATGGAGTCTTGGAGCAAATTCTTTCGTGATACATAAAATCTGATGATGCTAATCGCAAAGCAATGAAAATTGTTTTGTCGATCGCACATGTGTCTGTACGTGAATGAAAAATTTTTACGGACGAAACCACGATCATGATTCTGCTTGCGTTTCAATTAATTATGTTGAAAAAAATTACGAAATGAGAACTGTGCTATATAACATAGGTATACGTGGCTTCGAAATTTATTTTATCTCTTTTAACAAAAAAAAATTGTAAATACAAATTATTCCAAATAAAATGCGTGAATTTGTTCTTACTTTTAATTCGTAATGAAATGTTATTATTGCTTTAAAATATTTGTAAGACATAATTCTGAACGTTAGAATATTGTGCAAAATAGCATTATAAATAAGCATGAGATTAAAAACGTCATAAATAAAAAATTATCACAATCGATATAAGCTTTTATGTGTGCATTGCTTTTTGTATATGTATACATATATAGCAGATTTATCGCGATTTAAATGTTTTATTCGCATGTCGTTTCAAGCATCAGAAAGGATAATTAATTATAATTATAATGTACAATCCGCACAAATCAAAATCAAAAAATGTATATCTTAAAAGTTTAAAGATGCCAAAGAGCCCAATTTTCCCAAAATTAAAATCTCCATTGGACATATCAATCTCGTCATGCTTGATAATAGGGAAAATAGGAAAAATAATAGCGTTTATAAAATGAATATTCATAATAGTTACTCAGTTGGAAGATTATTTAAACCGCTGCTAGTTTCCTCGTATCGCACGAAAATCTTGCGCACCGATAAATATAGGATGTTTATGCTCGACAGCATTTAATGCATTGTCGGCGGTCGTCGGCGTGTTTCACGTGTATCAGATTCGCGGTGGTAGAAAAAAAAGCGCGAAAGGGCAGCCGGGGGAGAAATCACAAACGGCCTGTCGGCCACAGTGGAATGAATTATAAATCGTGCGTGCGCGATGAACAGACAGATTGAACGGAGGAAACGAGAGAGGATCAAGATCTTGATCGCGCGAGATCAGACAGACGTGATTGCTCGACAACTTTGCTCGCGACGAATCACGATAAAATATCGCTTTCGGTAGCGCAAGCTTGACAGAATAAGGCTTTCGAAAGCGAGCACCGATTGGCGATCAGATGAGCTCCTCATAGCTGCATTCGTTGTGCTCTTTGCAATTATATTGCAATTATATGACGTTGAGCTTTTTGGAATTTCTCCAGATTGTATGTATGACATGTTCAAAAGGATGATTTTTCTAAAAAATTATTTTTTAGAAATTCGACATTTTAATTTTCATGAAATGCATTTTTAATTTATTTTTAATTTAACTTCACAGCACAAATACATTATAATATAACAGAGAGAGAATCCGTATTCTTAAATTCATAAATAAATTCACGCATCAATAAAAAAAACTCCGGTTTAACCATAATAAATTATGAATTAAAATAATCTGATAAACTATAAAATAATTGCAATTGCAGCAAAGTGCAATTTCTTGTCAATGTAGATAATTCGTAAACCACGCGATGCGTGAGCGGAAATAGAAATAGCTGTTTTGCGTGAAACGACGATGCGTCGGAAAGCGTTGATAACCCACGAAGTAAATCACTGACTCCAAGGTTCCATTGCATGGATAAGAATCGCGTCCGCATAAACTACGACTAATAACCGCTACTCGTTGTTTGAGTAAATCTGTAATGCGTTCGTACGAGCCGCATTCCTACATAATTCATACGTCGGCAGCGAAGAATATTTATTACTCACGTTACGTTACCATAGATATAGCAGTGCACGATGCACTTTTCTGCCAATCGTCAAAGGATGTTTATTGCAAATATAAATTATTTTATCGATTTAGGAAAGTGAATTAAAAAAGGGGAAACGAGCATGATGTAGTCAACATAGAAAAAATGCAACTGATAAAGATCATAATTCTTTAGTAAACGCGTTAAATAATGATTTTAACAAACGTAGAGAATAGAGAATAAATCAAATAAATTAATTTTCATCTTGAATTTAATAACAACTATTGCAAAATAAAATGGTAAAAAATTATTAATTGAGAAATAGATTTAAATAAATTATCAATAAGATTTATTGATTTCCTAAAGCTCCATGAGAGATATATTGAAAATATTGAGTTATATGTTAATAGAAATAAATTAAAATTATAGGACACCAAAATTATAATTTAAAAGATAGGAAGTGGATTTGCTAAAAGAGTAATATACACAATTATATAAGAGTATATACAAGTACATACAATTATGCTAAAGAGATTTTACAGAAACAAAGAAGAATGCAGATTTAAAAGCCTACAACTTTTTTCGATATACTTAGGAAGTTTTACAATGTTTTGTATGGAAAATTTAAGATCTGGATTAGACAGATATATTTTGACAAGTAGGAATAATTTAACGATATCACACACACAGACACGCACACACACACACAATACATAACACGCGTTTTGCATTTCTGCGTTGTTATCGCCCATGCATCACATTGTCTACAGAACTATGCCTTGTTTGTTGTATGTATAAGAATAAATCATAAATGTCGCAAGCCGATTTTCCGATACATTTCTAATTTTGCAATGATGCCAAGCAGAAACATTAAAAACATTATTCTTGAATGAAAAATTCCCCAAAAATATATGTATAATTAGATTTATTGTTAATCAACAATTTACTGTATGCACTATTGCAATTAATTATTGTTGATTAGATAAAATAACTAAAGAAAAAGGAAGAAAAAGTAAATACATGTCTATAAGAAATATATTTAATCGCAGATATTTTTTCGAGTGTTAGCATTCGATCATCGTTTTGCAGATACAATAAATATCTTTAACAGCGAATGCTAACTGATGATATTTTCACAATCTTCAATACGTAACAAATTCGAGAGAAATGATAACGAATTGCAATGTCAATATGCGATAATCGGTGCAATAATAAAAATCTTCGATTAATGATTGAAGATTGATTGATTGAACGCGCGGTTCCACTTGTGAAAATACCTGTCGCTTTGACAGATTCGATACATGCGTCATTTCTTAATTTCACACTTAAGACTTGACGCGTTTAGCATCCCGTAATGTAAATTCCGAGTCAGTGAGTCGTTCGTTTTCTGCTTCGCTTTAATCTGATAAAAGCAAAGAGAAATTCTTTTAAATTATCGATTCATCACTTCTTTCTGATTCATATATAATGATCTCGTACGGAGTTTTCAATTCGATATTTACGAATTTCGATATTACAGAATTTTTATTTATGGCGAACATAATCATTTCGACTTTGATCTTTGATCTTTCTCTTTTTAAATGTTTTTTTTATAAATTTCTACACAATAATAGTAAATATGCGTATCGTTTCATCAAGTCCATAAGTAGTAGTAGTAGACTATGAGAATATGTCTGCTGATCAAATCAATTGATTAATTAATGATAAACTGATATTTTAAGCTTCACCTGAGAGGCCAACCCTATTTGCTCGTTAATTACGAAAGATCTCCCATCGCAGCAACTCGTATGAAATCTCGAAAAATAATCATGAATATTTACGCGGAGCCTTGATTAAGAGAGCTGTATGAACAAGTGTCAGATGTTCTTACCCCGAGACTCTTTAAGACGGATTTTTATCTGCTAACAATAAGTTATACGAGTGTTGTCGCTGCATCTTTGAACAGAGATATAAACATCTAATTTTTCATTTCAAGGTTAATAAATTCAAATTTTAAGCATGCGTTCTTCGATACCGTAGTATGATACGATTGATATTATAATGATAATCCAATGTACATGAATTTAATGAATTCATTAAAAATGTAAATTAAAAAGGTCTATCCATATGTTTCTGTTAAGAAAGATACGGTAAATGACCATAAAGTTTGCATTTAATAAAAAGATTAAATAACTTGAATATTGATGTTATACATTCTACAGTTTTAAATAAATTATTTACAATCTAAAAATCTGAATACACACACAATATATAAATTTAGAAATATTCAACATAAAGAATCTTTTAAAATTCTGATTTTGAATTTAACATAATTAACAAACTATTGATTTCCTGCGATAGTAAATTATATTAATATTTTATATATTTTTAAATCTGCAAGTAACTGCGTGTATGCTAAGTCATGGTACTTTATGTAACAAGGCAAAGTTCAATGTAATGTTTTGGAAATTTACACGTGTTTTTAACAGTAACATTTGCATTCAATTATGTGTTTAAAATACAGTTATTCTAATACCGTACTTTGGTTATCGCTGTGCGGCTTATCCGTAGTATTTGCTTCGTGATTACAATAATATATACGCACATTGCAAAAATCTTTCATTTATTTAAATTAATGTTTGTGGTTTCCATAAACATTACTTGCATCTAATTTTAATATAACATTAGATCTGAGACTAGAAATAGTAGTGAAGTAAATTTATTTTTAAGAGTGTCTCTCATCTCTCTCTCTATTTCTTTGTGGGTGTACAGAATATGCGATACCTATATATATATCAAATATTCGGTATTAAAGCCATTTGAAATCAATAATAATATTTTCTAAATCATTTTTATTTATAAAAATATCAAAACCTCAATAGTTTATATGGATTAAAGAAAAATGCGAGCTCTGGCGAATGAAATTGCAAGGATACAAAATAAGAACGTTTCGTTCTTCGGAAAGAGAAGTTGTTTAGTGCCGTGTTTTTAAAAGTCTGTTGAATGAGTCAACTAGCATTCGTATCTGAAATTATATAGAATCGCGGCATTTGCTTTCTAAACACATACAAAAATACAAAAATCGAGAATCCAAGTCGCTCGTTAGAATGCGCAAATATATACAATCGGTGTATTTTTTATGAAAGAATACACGAATCTTTTATTAAACACGAAAACGATATACACATAGATGTGATTTAGCGGCAAAAATATGTCTCGACGAAAATACGAGTGATCTTGATGTTTCTTAATATTGGACATAAATCATTCATGAAACATTCGACTATAAAATGTACAAACGATACCTGATATGGCATTAATATTTTATAACTGAAAATTTCTCGTATAAACAAATGCGATAAATCAATTCTTATTCATTAAATAAATATGGTAATACGAAGCCAAAACTCGAAATGGATTTCAAATGGCTTTCTCTATTAACAATTGTTAATTAAGAAGTACTATTGCCTTGTCGTAAAAATGCAATAAATTTATTGTAAATATATTTGTTTACGCGCGTACTTTGCATTATTGAAAACTTTAAATACAAAAATAATCAATTTAAATATTGACAAAGAAAAGAAAAATTTGCACGGATATAATTGTAATACTTAATACATACATGGTAAAAAAAATCAGGTGCAGATCAGTGAAAAAAAAACACAAGTGATTACTTCTGATAAGAGTTGCGATTGACGTCGTGGAAAGTTACGCGAAAAGTTAATAACTCTTTAACTTTAAATCAGCGTCCTGTCATGATATAATGTCAATAATCACATTCATATCACTTTGAACAAAAAAAAGTATTAATGATTAATAGCATGCATATATTATACTCTTATGATATCGATGATATTTATTTCGTACAAATATATATAAATATAAATTCATTATTATAATCACGTTTTTTGTTTTAATAATTGATTAGCAAGATATGAGATTGAATTGGTCAACATTCTAAGTAAATTTTTGACAAACAGTCCAACTTTTTCTATTTGAAAATTCTGTATATGTGAAATTTCTATAAAATTGCAAATCGTAAAAGAAAAGATTAATGTCATGTGTGAAATGTTACTTTATATATACATTATTGCCAAAAATTTAATATTGTTTTTTATGCCTATGCAATTGTATATAAATTTTACAATTTCCTTTTATTATACTTGATCACAATTTACAATATATTATCTATGTGACATATAATGGAATCAATATAAATAAAACCAATGTTGTACGCGCGAGAAATGTCATATGCGCCTAAGATTATTCTAATTGCCAAAGTGTGTATCTCATTGTCAGCAAGTCAATCAATGTGTCATGTGTCATTGCATCAGTTTGAACTAATTAGACGATTTTAATCAACCAAATATCTGCTGTATATTATCCGACGTACGAATTAAAATTTGATACTCACCACACATCACGTTCAGGTGTCGTGGCAAGAAGGTTGCGCTAAAATTCTCTGCGGTTCATATGGAGAATCGTGCACTATATCAATTCCCGGCACTATACGTGTCCGTGTATATCACACAAATCTCTCCAGCAAACGTCAAACTTCCAAACGACACACGTCGTTTATCGCACAGATACCGGTCGCGGAAACACGCGTGCGGCTCGAAAAGAAAAAAAAACCGCGGAAATGTTCTCTCGGACGATCTCGAAACAGGTCCCGTTCGCCGAGTCTCCTTCCAGGAGCGTTCCACGTGGTTCATCAAGGTCGATCGTGGCGAACGTAAACCATCACTCGGATGCCTTTCCTCTCCGATCGCAATCTCGAAGACTTGAAATCTCGAAACGTCAAAGATGCTTCAAAGTCGACCTCTTGTTGCTTTTCGCGGACGATCGGAGCAACCGCGTATATATGGTTAAACGGGAGCAGCGACTAGGATTTCCAAGGTAGCTGCGGCTGTCAGAGCTTTTTCCTCTCTCGGAGTATCCTGAGTAAGAGCAGGACCCCGACTGACCCCGGTGTGGCCGAGGAGGGCACGCACGGTCTCTCTCGCGTGTTGCGGATGAGCGTGCGTGCGTTGTGCGTTGCCTGTCGGCTGTGGCTGGCTCGTAGCTTCCCCTTACTCGGTCTCTCACTCTGGGTTTCACTCTTCTCTCACCTGCGCACCGGTCTCGTGTGCTACCTGGAGACCACGCCTACCGGCGCTGGCGCGCGACTACGCGAGGCTTCCTGTGGTAGGGAACGAAGAGGACGATGTGCGCGCGTCTTCGTTCCCTCTCGTGTTCGAGAATCGCGCATAGTTCGTCGAAGGAGCGATAATGTATGACATACGTGTCAAATCCCCACCAGAGTTTCAGCCCGATAGAATCGCGCGGGATGCGCTCTAAACATATATGGGCGGTTTTCTTCTCGCGGAACAGGAAGGGATGCAAAAGCGTTCCGTTTTGTATCAGTGTCGGGACGAATTTTCAATAGCAGATTAATTCTTCCTCGCGGAGGAAGCGATGTACTACGTAATTAACGCGGCGACGAATGTTATGTACGTACGTGATGATACTTGCGTATTTCCGTTGCAATGACACCATCATTTCGCGCGACGCGTGCTGTAGATCATCGGGTGGGTAATTAGCGGTCTCCGCGACGCTCTACGCATACGCGATGGAGTATCGCGGCGTGTTCTTAAATTTAAATTGCTCCCCGCTTATTTTGCAATTGAAATTCCACGACCGCATCGTGTGTTCGGCTTATGCCGCGATACTACGTGACAGATTCGAGCTTAGGTGTATATGTGTGTCTCTTGATTGACAAGAGCTTTTAGCTTATATATATTTTTTTACACTTGTTAAAAATACATTATAATATATATATATCGCAATTAATTTAATTATTACAGGACATGAAAAATACGCGACAAAAATATATTGTATAAATATAAGAAAAATATATATTATATATTTTTTAATAAGTGTCAAAATTATATAATATATATTTTTCTTATATTTATACAGTATATTTTTGTCACGTATTTTTTATGCCCTGTAATAATTTAATTAATTGCCATTAACGTACAAAGTATAGAAGAAATTAAATTACTCCAAAATGATGTTACCCCTAAATAGGAGCAATTGAGATTTGCAATCTGATTGGCAGATGCGTATACCGATCAATCCGTCGATTAAATCTAATATTGAACTCCAAGTTGATTAACAAATAATTGTTCAATAATTTCATCTATATTAAATGTATATCGCTATAATCTATCATTTCCGCCGAATCTCGACAGTATACTAGATGTTTAATTATAATGTATTTAATTTTCAATGATCTCATGTTGGATCTCATCTTACACTCATTTCATTTCATTACGTGGGCAATGTCAAGCAAATTCAATTAACTGAAAATCTCGGTAATTTAACTGGTTCCCCTATATAGGTTCTCAATACTCTCTTGCTCAATTATATCGCAATAATGCAATACTCGTTTGCTCGTGTAATATCCGAGTACGTAAAACAATTCCCGGGGTACTCTGGAAATATCTGACGTATTCGAATATTGACAGCGCTAGCGCGTGGTCCATGATCTAAGGTACCATCGCATAACGTCCATCTTAAGTCGGAGCACGAATGCAGATGCGATTTCATCACGCCAATAGGCATCCTCCGGAGCAACGTTGCGCGCGCATAAGATATCCTCTGTTAGATTTCATTCGGCAAGCTACCTCAACCAGAGTAGGAGAGAAACCGAGTGCGTCGGCGCCGTTTGTCGGCATCACTTTATTGGCTGCTTTCCTAGGAGAGAGGCGAGTAGTATGGCGTTGCTTGAATCTATCTAGATGAGAAGAGGGGCACTGCCAATGTGTGACAACCTTGGGATTAAATATATCGCGATGTGCTGAAAAGTTACCGTGACAGCTGCCAACTCGAAACCGCCGGATCTAGGTCAAGATTGTGTATCACTCGTCAATTAATGACGCCCTAAGTCTTGTACATGCTTATTTTATGCAATAGCTAAACGCGATTCTCAAATCAGATATTGCATTAAAAATCGTGATCAAAATATTTTACATAAATTTTAATATAGTATATCATATCATGAGATAGATCGTATAGAAGCGAGAGAAGAGAATAAGTTTGAATATCACATACATTTTTATCATGTGTACTCGTATAATGTGTGAACCAATTTTCAGATCGCAACTAAGCATCTTTTATAATGTTAATATGATATACATATAATGCAAATATAATATTTTAAGCAAAAACTTAAAAACTTTAAACGATATACTTGACAATGATATATGTATAATAATTGCTATAAGAGTATCTACGTCACCAAAAGTAGATAATTCGCACATGTGATATGCGATATCGCAGAAACGAAAAATTAGTAGACTCGATCATTAAGTCTAATGATCGAGAACGAAAAAAAACCCAAAATATTGTAATTACCCTATCTCGACAATGAAGCAAAACGTTCTATAATTGTCGCGGCGCTATTCTTCGAACGCAATTTTACTCGGAAAAATACAATGGTTTCGAAAAGTAGACTAATTATTTTTGCAATTTAAAATATTCACAATATTCACGATCTTTTCTTGTGCTCATATCGAGTTAAAGTTTGATAAGCTTTAAATTGTATCCTCTTAAGAATAGCCTTCAATATAATTTGACACTTTCAATGAAGAGTATTCCATTTAAAAACTTTTAGACAATGAAGAGTATTTTATTTAGAAACAAGTTTTTTGCCTCAATATTATTCTAAAAAGATAAATAAAAATTTCTGTCTTTTCAAGGTACAGCATATTTGCATTTCGTATATAACATTTTCGCGTGATAAATGTTATCTACATTTGCCCGACATATTGTCAGCGATTAATGTATTGCATATCTTGCAGAAATAATGTTTGCAATTAGTTTGCGGTGGCTTTCGAATAAGTGCGGTTAATCAATAATTGAGTCCTCAATTGCGCAAAGGTTCATTACCCATCAATTAAGTGTTATCATTACCTTCGTTCCGTTATTAGCGGACAGATAACCCTCGGTAATTTGTGATAATAATACATACATACGTAATATAAAATTCAAGCTTGAAGTATAACATGCTAATTAATAATAAATTTAACTCTAAGTTATGATTTGTTATAATTCGATGCGGTTGGTTTAATTGTCAAATCAAAACATATTGCAATAATTTTTTAGAGCGTCAAATATATACAAATATTTAGCAATAAATATGTATAACATATTAGTTAAAAGATTAGCATTAAAAATTTGCATAAATGAAAAATGTATAAATTTTGAGATTAATCTTTTAATCGTGAGAACAAAAGCAGCCGTAAAGTGCGTTTCGATTTAACAATTAAACATTTGTCGCGATCGTGTTGTCGTATGCCGCATCTCGTCTCATGCAAATGCAAGGCTAGTTCGTTTATGACGTGAATCGTCGCATAGATCACGATCGAAGAGAAGCATTTATTTCCATCATTGTGTTCTTCTCTTACGTCTCGAGCCATCCGTGACGCGCAATGAATACACGTGCGTATCGATATATAATGCAGACGAAAATAGCATCGCAATGCGCTACTGTTAGAAAACTGGGTAAACAGCTGTGCGAACACAATACGAGCGCATATTTCCCTCGCCTTACCTCTTCATCTTTTATTACTCTTCCTCTATCATTTTCTTCGCTTCATTCTCCGCTTTTCTTGGAATTATCATCTGCATTCAAATGCAGCGCGAGAACTGCATCGAGATTAAACGGTCTTAAATTAGTTAGTCCTTAAATAAATTGTATATTGAGGATATCGTAATAAATTTGCTCAGTAAGAACTAAGCATATTTTTTCCACGTAATGCATAAATCATGATGGGTTTTAAAAAGCAAATATATCGAATTAATGTATAATGAAAAGAATAATTATATTAGATAATAATAATTAATATAATAATTTTTTCAAATTTTATATATTTTATGGAAATTCTATATAAAAACATTTATATACATATATAACATTTGATTTGCTTGAACATAATGATTTTTTCTTGAATCTTTGTTTCTTTCTCTCTTGTTTTCTTGTATGGTATATTGGCTTACTAAACATTTGATTAGTAAGTACACTCTCATTTCTATTAAGCTGCAGAAAGAGCCATGACATTTAAACTACACTTATCAAGTAGTAAGAAATATAATAATTTGTGTTGATTAAAGCAAGCACTGGTGGTGCAATTGAATTCTCATCTCAATCCCAATTTGCAGATGTTAACGATACAATTTTATCATACTCTGTTGTTGAAGTTATTTTAAGCTCACATTGGTGTGAAACAAGTGTTTCCATCAGTGTATAAGAAAAAAAACTTGCGTAAGTAACTTACTATTAATAATTATTGTTGTAATCACTACGTCATAGCTATCGCAAATGGAAATGTCTGGTGCTAAATAAAGTCCTTCTTGGACATCCTAATTATTTGCTTATATGAGAAATCGCGATCGGTTCTGATATCGCATCTGCAAGGACATTGACGTTACGGAGTTACCTTTCAAAATGAGTCGCAATAAACTAAATACAATCCGCAATTATAATCTGCGTCCTCGCTTGTATTCGGATATGACTTAATTTGGTGTATACAATTTATGGTTTCTCGGGAATTGAAATAATATTAATATAAATTTACAGAAATTAACATTGTGTGCCAAATACACTGCGTTCTCTCAAAACAGAAAAGCAATTACAAATAATATTATTGTAATTACAATGTTGGGGAATCGTAATTGTTTTATAGGTATCATATAAGAAAAGAGGTTTCCTACTTTCAAACTTTCTAGTATTTACGTAAATGAATACGAATATTGAAAATGCGGGTAGGAAAGAAGCAATGTTAATTTAGTCATAGCACAATTAAAATAAAGTGTACGCTAAGTTATAAAAAATAATAATTTTTATTCTTGAGAAGGAATACGAATTTTATCTAATAAAAATAAATATTATATTAGATAAAATAAAATAAAAAAAACATGATTTATATATTGGAAAATTTTCAATAATTTATAAAAATATATTTTTTATAAATTGCTAAACTTCCCTAAAATATAAATAGAATTTTTTTTTCTTTAAAAAAAATTTCTTATTTTATAATTTATGTAACAATTTATAAAGATAATTATTAAGATTTATTTACAATTATTAATATTTAATTTGAAGAAAGTG